TAATGTGACGGTCAATCCCACTATTCGTTGGTAAAAGAGTAGCCCAAGAGTTGGCGGTGGGTGGTGATGACTAGCTGCCTTCCCTCTAGTCTTACACTGCGCAGATAGCCCTCGTGTAGCTTTGCGCGAAATTCGAAAACAAAACAAACAAATGAATAGATTGAATTTGAATAAAAACAGCACTTCAGATACAAGTATTTCTGACCACGTGTGAATAGAGGCTGAACAATACCACAGTGTGGGATTATTTTAACTGTGTTGGTTTAATGAGAATAGCTTTAAAATGTCATGAAATGTTTTTGCCATTATGACGTTCTGTCCATTCTGTGTACATTGACAGATTATAAGGAAGACCTTACCTTTTTAAATGTGATAATACACTGCGTTTCGCAGTAGTTTGAGAATTTACTTTAGGCAGTCCAAAGCTTTGAGGTTAATCAAAACTGTTTTGCAACGTTTGGACAACGCTTGAAAGACATAAATGACGGATCTCGACAAATATCAATACATTTAGAACTGCTTTGAAAAGATGTGACAGTTAATACCACTAGTGGCTGCTGTTGGTGGCCAATGTAAGTAATGGGATACAAGTTGTGATAAACAACAAGAAAATAAATTTATTCTCTTCACTAAGAAATGAAGCTGAAGCGCCAAAGTTACTATCCTCTTTTCTAGAAGTACAGTCCCAATTATTCTGATAATATAGTACGTAATGAAAGGTAGGATGATGTACTGTCTTTCAGATATAAGGGCATTTTTCATCAAAACCTACGTTTCAGGAAAACATGGCTACAAAATGCGAGATTGTATTTAGAAATGAAGGAAATGTTCCTTCCCATGTTCTGGATATAAGTACATTAAGTTAGATAATAGGCTAATATCTACAATCATAATTTCATTCTTAAAATTATTATTGCGTGTGTGTTTTTTCTTTGTTGTTATGTGGAATGGTTTTTCTACAGGGAATTAAATCCCTTTTATATCGTCTAAACATCCCGTATATTTGTTGTTATTAATTATCGGTTCAACAACAATTAGATATGATCATTCTTTACAAATAATCCAATAAACACAGGTAATTAAGCTGTATTATTGCTCAAATTACGTTCTTATTTATAAACATTATCTATTAAGAAAATGCTATTTCCATTAGTAAGTGAAAGCTGAATGAATTAATACAGAAATATAAGTGTTTAAACTTCAATGTCTTTTTTTTTCAAGTAATTTCATATACATTTTAGAATACACACATACACCTATATATATAT